TTCATGGAACGTTTCCTTTCTTTTATATTAATGTAAAAAAAAATTCCTTTTTCTGTTTAGGTTATGTTTAGAATTCCATCGCTGCAACAGCAAAAAGTTAATTAAAAACTGTCAAAAATCAAACTGATAAGTCTAAAATTAGGTCAATCAAAACAGTAATATATACCTCGTATGTTTTAATTTGGATATTGAAGATAATGTGTGTTAACAAGCAAAGGAAATACTTTAGTGAATCTGTTCATATAAAGAAATATGCAAAATAGTGCTTCTATTTCTGTATTGATTTTACTTTAAATATAAGAAGACACTCACTAAATATCCGACACTGACAGCAGAGAAAGTTGGGTTGTTTTGAATGAACAGTTTGATCTTGTACAGTTTTTTTTTTTTTTTTTCCTCCTTAATAGTCTGTATTTCTCTCTTCTCAGTTTTCAATGGGTCCAGCAAATCATCGAAGGAGAAAGAACCCGCTCAGAAACACAAAAGCAAAGAGGCCACACCAGGGAAGGAGAGGAACAGTGAACATAAGGCTGAGAGCCGAAAAGACCAGGCTGCTGCTAATCATCATCCTACTACAAACACTGGCTCCTCTACGAAAGGGCTCACCGCTAGCAACCACCACACTCTTCATAGATCGGCTCAGGACTTAAGGAAACAGGTAATGAATTGTACTCTACTGTGGACACATGGGAAAATGCAGACTTTTAAGGTGCTAGCTCCATTTTCCACTGCCTGGGATAGAGCAAACATGGTGATCCTTAAAAGCATGCTCTGGAGATTGCAGGGAGTTAATTTTCAGTGAAAGAGAGAGAAAGAGAGAAAGAAGGAAAAAAGAAAAGTGATACGTACATGAGAAGTCACTATGATAACGCATGCTTTACAACCTTGTCTTGATATTATCCAGCGTATACATATGAAAGAGTAAAGTTCACATCGCTATTTATTAAACCTTTCTGACTGGCACTCTTGTTGGCCTCTCTGCTGGCAGTGCCAAGGCTGGCAGCACGTGGAAAAATGAACTCCTTTTGTGTACAGCTGGTCTGCTCGGATTCTCTTAGAGGCTCACTGGTGTTGTAGAGAAGCTGACGTGACGCTCAGGTGTCTTGTATTGCATGTGGGCAACACAAACCTCGGAGTCCGGGAAAAGTGTTTTGTCTGATGCATAAAGAAGGTGCTCTAGGATATTGCCTCCTTCACAGTGGATGTGCCAGGTGGGGAGAAATTCAGACTTTCATATTACCTGGTTGAAAACTGGCAAAAAAAAAATCAGCAAGAGGCTTGTCTCGGCCTGACTTGTATTTGCGTGTGGAAGTTTAGCAGGCCAATCTTTTGGTGCTTGTGACTGGCAATTGGGCAGGATGTGTCTCCATCTATTTTTGATGATTGGATCAAAGGGATCCTAAAATAGCAACTATCAAGTAAGTTTTTTATAAAAGAATTTCAAAAATCCCCAGTCACTGTCTGGGGCTGGGTTAGCAGGGTATCTACGTTAGAGCAATGCAGTACAGAAGGAAAGCTTGCTGTACTTACGCCTTTTTTTTTTTTTTTTTTTTTTTTTTGTGGTTAATTCTCAACAACCCAGCTAAAGACAGTCTTTATTTGCTGGTATCTAAAGGCTTTTCTTCTAAGTAGGCTGGCCTGGATTTCAGTGTAGCTGAAACTGCTGCCTTGTAGGGCTATCAAGGCCTTAAATGGCACCTCTCAGTCATAGGTTTGGAAATTAAAAATGGCAAAAAGAAAAACAGTGGTGCCCTTGCTGAGGAAATCTTCCATGCCCTGTGGTGTTTAGCTTCTCCTGAAATGCTTCCAGTGGATTTGTGTTACCTTCTAAATAAAATTTGAGATCCTCAAAGCTATCTACAGTATATTTCTCTGTATCTCTGTAAAACTTCCATTCTTTCTTCTCCTGTGGCAATTTTTGCTTATCTAGTTAGTCATCAGCTTGAATGCCTACCTTCTTTTGCATCCTTTTAGCTTTCTTTTTTGTGACAACTAGCATCCTGTGGTCCTTGCTGTGACATGCTCTGCCCTGAGCTCTTAATGTTGAACAAGTTTTCCAAAGTGTAAGGATGCACTTCATACTTAATTATTTTAACTAACTGGAACACTTGTGTGAAGTGCGTTAAAGTTGCATCATCAAAGTATGAATAGTTAAAATTCTCGTGACAGTCAGCTGCTATCACTTGTGAAGGTAGCTCTGAGAAGGGAAAAGACAGGTGTAGAAGAACTTTGTCCACGATTGAAGTGGGTTTTGCTTCGTAGAGTATTATGTGTTTTCAATCATGCTATGCAAAATGGAGAGAAATTGTAAAGTGATGCAGTACAACCAACAGTCATGCCACACAGACACCTCACAGAGTATGGCCCTCAAGCTTCAGAAAATAAGGGATCTGTAAATTCAGATTATGATTTTTTTTTTATTTAGGCATTTATATTTTCTTCTGCAGCCCACAGTAACATAAGTACTTTCTCACCAATTTTAATGAAAATGTGTCTGTAACTAATTAAAGGTGGATTATCCATTTTGCCTGACAGAAAGACTTAGCTTTGTGCAAAACCTTAGACTTACCAGTTATGTGGCATTGCTAAATTTCCTGCCCTTGTCCTGAGTCTTTGTTGACATTTTCAGTATTTTCCAAAAGGGCAGTTGTTTGCCCCGGGGTGCTAGCCACATGTTCTTCCATCTTCCAGTATGTTTTTGCTCCTCGTTCACGTGTATTTACATGGTTTATTTATGTGTGTGGTTTTGTTTTCTTCAGTCTTACAGAAAGTAAAGGCAGAACACTAGAAACTACCCAAGATTTTCTTTTTTCCTCTCATTCTTTCTTTCCTTTTCTAGTGTGCGCTTGCACTTGTCACGTGTTCCCTCTCTCTCTTTCTTCCTCCTTTGCTCTCTTCTCCAATCCCCTACTTCAAAGGGGTTGTGGGCAAAAGAAATGTAGTTCAATGGGGCCCTCTCTTGGCCTAATACGGTAATTTAGCTCTGCAAAACCTATATCGACACAGTATTTTTATGAATGAATTTGAGATTAGTTGCATAACTTGAATTTGGTTGGGACCAAAACTGTTGTTGCTATTGCTAACGTTGCTGTTATTACTGTGGTTGTTATCTAACAAGTTGTTTGTTGGCTTTATTTTGTGTGTGTACGTGTGTATGTGTCTGGAGGGTGGATCCTAGGTGCTATGCAGAGGTGTGTATGTAGACCAGTTCAAATCCAACAAACACATTGCTGCAAGACTATGTGCTGGTCCCATTTGCCTTTTAAAAGATAACTTTATTTAAAAAATAACAAAATTTAAAATCTGTTATACCATCTTTTACTGCAAGGCAAGCGTTCAGTAAAGTGGAGAAAAGAGTGGTCTGAAGACTAATATATGTCAGCAAAACTAAGAACATAGCTGAAAAGCAAAGATAAGATTATTTGTATCCCTAGTTTCACCTTTATCTCAAGACTTTGAGTCATGTAAGGCTAATGTCAATCACTTTGTCACTATTTGAATTAAATTGACTTCTTTCTTATGTGCTCAGTGTAAGCACTGCCTCGGGATGGAGCTGTGGCATAGACCCCCATTTGGTGAACCTGCGCACCTGGCAGTGTGGCCAATTTTTTAGGCTGACTCTGTGTGTGTATGTTTGGTTTGGGGGGAGACATTTCAACAGTAGAAAGGTAAGAAAATGCCTACCGCAATTTCTTGTTTCTTTTGGTTCCAATCGTCTGATGGGTCCTCAGAGACAAGTACAGACCAGGAACATGTAGGTGATGACTGACCAGCCAGAATTTCACATTTGTCAATGTGAAATCCTGAATCCACCTGTTGCTTTGATGGTGGGCTATGACCACGTTGTTTGTTCCACTTGTTTCCAGCTGGAAGATGTTTGTTGCAGCCTATTCCCGTTTGAAGCGTGGTCTCTTCTGGTCTATATAGTACTGCTGTATCTTAAACATTATGCTATCATCTCTGAAAGCACTCGAGATACCTGTGGGCATTTGGGGAGGGGAGAGGGAGAAGTACTTGAAAACCATCGTGTTGTGTCTGTTCTAGAAAGATGATGGTTCTGAGGAAGCAGTGTTTGTTTCTTGTGGGATCTCCTTAGTTAGCAACCAGAGAGAAGTAAGAGAATTCCTTATAGTATTCTCAAAGCCAAGTGTTCTCTACTTCAGGACCTGTTTGTCATTGGAATAATGTCACTAGGTTTGAATAGAAACTCAAAATAGTGTGCTTGTAATGTAGGATTGGAGGTTAGATAGCAGAAGCTTATGTACCTGTTCAGTTCAAGATTTGGCCCTGAGAGATCTAAGCTTTTGTTGTGTTGGAGGTATTCTAACAACTCTAAACAGTTGTGATAAGTTGCTGTTTTCTTAATTAATTAAGTTTTCCAGAGGTTTGTATCTTGGCAGTTTTAATTCTGGCCTAAAGCTGATGGTGCTGATAGCATGTTTTCCTTTGAAAAGGAGGAACTGTGAGGATCCTGCCTTTCTCCATGAGCACTTTCTCCATGACCGTGTTTTGTTCTCAGGCCCTATGTCACCACCTCTTGCTGAAGGAGTGCCCCAGATAGCCCTTCAGGCTTCTGGTCACAACTTCTTAAAAAAAAATTCATAGGAAGACTGGAGTGACAAGGTACCTCTATACAGGCTGACTGCTCACTCTGAGGTGTTGACTGCACCTGACAGCACAGTAATATACCTATGGCCTCCTTGAAACTTTCTGGAAAACCTCCCGTGGAGGAGACTCCACAACATCTGTTGACAGCTTCTTCCAGCATTTTCCTTTTCTACTCATTAGAAAGTTTTCCTAGTTGTGCCTCAGATTATCTTTGTAGACAATTAGAGGGTTCCCTTCCCCTCCCCCCCCCCGCCTTTCACAGTGAACATGGAAAGAACATTTACTGTCTTTTTTCAGAGGAGCTCCTTGTGCATCAGAACACCGTTGCAGAGTTGTCCCATAGTCTTCTGTTTCAGACTAAACAAGTGCAGCTCCCGTGGCTTTTCAGTAAAGATTGTATTTTCCAAATCTCTGAGCACTCTGTACTCTTTTAGACTTGCTCCACGGCATAAATTTTTCTCTCAGTGTGGGCCCAGTGCTGGATCCAGCCCTGCATAGGAAAGCCTGTGCACTTGTTCCTTGTTTTTGGCGTTCTTGGTAATAGGTCTCAGAAAGAGATTTGCGTGCTTTCTACCACTGTCATGTTTTGCAGTTCAAAGTGGTCCCCGAATGTTATTCCTCCCCTACATGTATTTGATTTGTCCTTCCTAAAAATAGCACTTTCTCTTATTGTAGAAATGTTCTGAAATAAGTTCTTCAAGATTACCTTTGATTTTGACCTTGTCTCCAGAGCACCTTCCAGGTGCATGTCACTGGCAAATTTTACGATAATCCAAGTTACTGATGGAAGTACTTGGTAGAACCAAGGCCAAGAAGAGTCCCTTCAGAAAGTTACCTGAAGTGCTCTCCCAGGATGGCAGTGAACTATGACAATAACTTCTCTTGAGGATGAGTTTCTTCAGTCCCTCATGGAGTCACTTTAGAGTCATTATATCTAGGACGTGTCTCAGGAGCTTGTTTGATGGAATGTCATGTGGGACAGTGACTGGAGCCCTACTAAAGCGGAGGTGCTTCTTTGCCTGTTCAGCCAGGTTTCTGTCAGACGATGATTAACTTTGATGTGCTGTTTTGGCAAAACTATGGGTAGGTGTGTTTTTGTGGGGTGGTGGTGGGGTGGGTTAATATTTTTTGGTTTTAACACTATCTTATTTATCATTTGTGTGTTTAAAAATTATTTGTTTGGTGATTTGTACCAGACTGATTTTAGGGTTTGAAGTTAGGTAGACTCTGTCTGCCCTACGCTTCTCTCCAGCAGCTATGCTCTAAGTCATCTAGGTACACTTTAGCTTGCTGGGGTTGCCTTCCTAGCTCTTTTGCTGAAATTGGTTATGTTATATATCTGGTAAGTATTCAGTCAGTGGTACTTTTGGTGAAGGCTAATGCAAAAGAAGCACAAACACTTTAGCCAAACTGTTGCATTTGTTTTTCTTCCTTGTGTAGTGGTTGACCTCTGCTGTTCTTTGTATTTTTAAGGTGTCTGTAAATTTCTTCTGTTTCATTTTATGTCCCTTGCTAACTGAAGTTTCTTTAGCTCCTTGGCCTTTCTCATTTTACCACTGCGAGCTTTTGCTGTTCCTATATAGTTGCCCTTAGTCACACACTTGCGTTTCAGTGTTTTACTGTGATTTTTTTCTAATTTTCCAGTCATTAGAGAACTTTGTGAACAAGCGTAATGACCTGTGCTCTGTGCCTCTCCTCTGAGCAGGAATTGCTTTGGTTTGGGTTTTTTGCAGGTTCTTGGGGGTTTTTTGTGTGTGTGTGTGTGGGGGGGGGGCTGTGTTGTGTTTGTTTTTTTTTGTCTGTTGTCCTTTCCATACTGTTGTCACATCTTAGAATTGAAAACTCATTTCATGATCACTGTCACCCAGATTACCTTCCCCTCCCAGTTCTCAATCAATTCTTCTCTATTAGTCTAGATGAAATCTGTAATCGATGTTCCTGGCTGTTTATAAAGCCAGAGATGTTCAGCTCTTGTTCTGCCTGCTGCAGGCAGGAGGCAATGTCTCAGCAGCTCTCTATTTGTGTCTGCTCTGTGGCATGAAACAGCTCTGCAGATGTCAAACCCGGACCTCCATTTCAAATGCAGAGTACTGCCTAAATTTCAAGGGAAATGGGTAAATGCATTTCTGTTAGCAAGTGTTTGCTTTCCAGATGATATCTCGTGCGTCTTTGGAAAGCTCAAGGTAAAAACTCATGTTATCAGTTAACTAGATTTTCCTTAAGTGTTTCTACTTCGGAAGCACAGGAAGGAAAAGAATGTGGATGGGTTTTAAAGGGGCATTACTCCTGCTCCAGCTTCTGGAGCACAGAGGAGAAAATGCACACTATAAATGCATGTATACACATATATGAATGTGTGTATCCAGAATCTCCAGGTTCCAGTTCCTCTTCCACAACTCACTTAATGCAAGACCATAGCATGATCTTTTCAGTCTATTCGATCCCTATTTTATAACATTTTATCCCTACTTTATAAGTGACTACAATTCTTGCCTTTATTCGAGAGAAGCTGCCGTGCTTACTAATTTGGCAAGTATTTTGAAAACCCACAGGGAAGTATTATAACTTTGCAGGAATGGTGGTGTTCACCGGAGCACTGATGCAAGGTGATTGTACTGTATGCTTTCACTTTGAGCATTTTTACCAATATTTTTTTTTTATGTGTTTTTGTGCGTTCACAATAGTTTAAGGAGGTGAGAAAACAATGTTTAAACTTGTTTAAATGCTGAAATTTGTTTGAGGTTCATTTTCTCAGTAGTGGAGCTTAGCTTTGGCAGTGCTGAGCCATCCTAATTCCCTTTGAAGCTGAGGGTTGCTTTCAGTGCTTAACCTGTCTTATAGTTAAAATAAAAATTTTAGTTTCATAGCTGGGTTTAAGTGCCTAAGAGAAAGCAATGGAGTCCAGCAATTCGAGGTTTCAATGACACATTAGTGATGAATATGATGTAATAAAATGTGTGTCAGCAAAACTGCCCAGATATCAAACTTTAAAAAAAATATGTGTTGAACTACTGTATAAATTTTTATTTCAAATTAATGACTTCAGCAACAAGATGCCTCCCAAGATTTAATATGTATGACAGACTGGATCCTTCATGGCTGTCCTGATCTGTCGGGTGCATAATGTGTTCAATATCTCTTTTTTTATATGTATGTATGTACAGACAGGAGATTGGTTTGAATCTCAGTGTGTTTTTTTGCAAAATGTGCCCATTCCAGTTGGAGTAGGTAGTATATGCTGTCTAGTTTGTCTGCTAAGAAGTAGTAAACTGTGTGTGCACTTAAGAGAAGATGGGTGGGAAGAGGGATAGTGTCTGAGGGCCAGAAAAGGAGATAATGAAAGTATTAGTTTGTAAGTCAGACTAGCGGTGTTTTGTGGCACCATAACAGGCTTTCTGGTAGACAAGGAATGGGGCAGTGCAAGCAAGGGGCCTCCCCCTTTTTAATGCTGGAGGCTTCATACCCTCCAAAAGCAAGATTGGCTTTCTGGAGACTTTTTGGTTCATTTTTTTAAAAAAAATATTCTATTTTACTTGTTTATTATAAATGCCCAGTCCCTCCTCTTGCCTGGGTGAAAACAATTATATGAAGATTGTACAAAGGGGCCAGGAGTCAGGACTGCAGAGTATGGTTGTCCAGTGACTGGGACACTGTGGCCGAGTGGTAACATTATTAATTTACTTTTCTGTTTTCTGTTTCCTTCCTTCTGCTCCCCCTGCAACAATCCTGGCATTGCAGGTTTCTAAAGTCAACGGGATCACTCGAATGTCATCTCCGAGTGCAAATGCAGCCAGTGCCAAAAAGATGAGAGAAGTCAGACCTTCACCGTCCAAAACTGTGAAGTACACTGCAACAGTGACAAAGGGAACTGTCACATACACCAAAGCCAAGAAAGAACTGGTCAAGGAAACCAAACTAAATCACCACAAACCCAGTTCACCTGTCAACCACACAATCTCAGGGAAAATAGAAAGTAGCAATGCAAAAACCCGCAAACAGGTGCTATCCCTTGGAGCATCCAAGTCTAACAATACCGCTGTTAATGGTGTAAAAGTCAATGGCAAGTTGAACCAAAAGACATGCACTAAGGAGGTGGGGAGACAGTTAAGGGAGGGTCTGCGCAATTCGAAGAGGAGGCTGGAAGAGATGAATCACATAGACAAAATACAGTCGCCCACCAAGAGAATGAAAGGGGCGGTCAACTTGGCAGAAGCTGCCAGCAAAAAGGCAGCCGTAGAAAAGCCTTTGCTGAATGGACACCTTAAAAAGGAAGTGCCAGAGAAGAGTTTGGAAAGAAATAGGCCGAAAAGAGCCACTGCTGGAAAGAGTACGCCAGGGAAACAAGCACATGGCAAAACTGAAAATGCCTCCTGTGAAAATCGTTCTACCTCTCAAGCGGAGTCCTTGCACAAGCCACAAGACTCAATGGGAAAGCACGAAAAGGGCAGTAGTAAGTCTGGGTGGGGGATGCTGGGGGAGATTCCCATCCTTAGGCCCTCCACCAAGGAATTTCATGACCCACTGATATACATTGAGTCAGTCCGAGCTCAGGTAGAGAAGTATGGGATGTGCAGGGTGATTCCTCCTCCAGACTGGAGACCTGAGTGCAAGCTAAATGATGAAATGCGGTTTGTGACACAGATTCAGCACATACACAAGCTAGGCAGGCGCTGGGGACCCAACGTGCAGCGGCTGGCCTGTATCAAGAAGCACCTCAAATCTCAGGGCATTACCATGGACGAACTCCCACTCATAGGTAAGGGCTGTGGTTTCATTGGCCTTTTGCCGCTGCTTGTTAGCGTCCGTATGCAACTTTATGCTCAGTTTGCCTTTATGCCTAACCAAACCCCTGTTCAATTAATGCTGCAGAGCACTGGATCTCTCTCTTAATCCATCAGTCAGGCACCATGCAGGTAGATTGGCGGAGAGCTTTCCCGGGAGACTTTGTATCGCCACCTTCCTCCTGCCAGCTCTTTATTTCACCCAGGGAAAAAAATGCTATGTGGGGTCTTGGTCTCTAGATTTCAGATCTTCTTTCCCTGCCGTTTATTTTTGTGGGTAGTACAACTACAGATATTGATTGCCTCGCTTTAAGTGTTGCCTCAGAATATTTTTCGGACCTTTCCAAAGATGTTTTCCAAACAGGTTGCAATGCTGCCAGGCTTGAATACAAATATTTTTTTTCCTCCTCCTTTCAAAGCATTTAACCAAGGGGGAAAGAAAATCTCTCGGAACTGACTTCTATTTGGGTACTCAGACACTTAAAATCACAAATTTGCAGTGACCTGCTGACATTTAACAACCATTAAGTGTCAAGAATAGGCAGTAAAATGTGGTTGATTGCAAAATGGAGGTTTCATTATTTCTCCCAGCAGGTGTCTGCCAGGGCTAATGCCTGAGTGAGAATCACTTATTTAACAGAATTCTTGGTTTATGGTCTGCTGTCAAATATGACACGTGACAAAAATGTGACAATAGTTTGTAAAAACATGACAACAGCAGCATACAAATGAACCATTGAATGAGCCACCTCCATCTCTACTGCTTTTGCAGCCATGACATAGTAACAAACTTCTGGGTTTAATTTTTGTTAGCCCTCCCCTTTGTTTTTGAAGTGTTTTGAGTCAGAGCTCACAGGACCTGCATGTTGCAACTTGAGGCTAGAGTTTTGCCTTTGAGGCATTATCCGATCAGAGGCAGCTATCGACACTACTTGGATTAAAGGACACACTTTTCTGTTTAAACTGTTCACAACACCTAACTTTATTTTATACCACCATATGTAAGTGAGTGAAAATGCGTAAAAGCACACGAAGAGATTGCAGAGCTTATGGTGAACCAACGCAGGGCACAACAGAAAAAGGACAGAATTTAAGGAGAAGGAACGAGTGTTAGTGCTCTGTTGCAATAGCCGTGCAAAAACGTTCAAGGAAATCTGAAAATTAAAATCACTCAAGCAGCAATAAGTGAACATTTTGTATGCCTAATGTATGCAATGGTTGTATGCTAATAGAGAAGAATAATGAATTAAATTTACATTGGTAAGAGAGAGAAGAAAATGTGCAAGACAGCTCGATTAACACTCGTGGAACAATGTTAACTTTTTAATGAAATACCTTAACTCGGCACTAAGATGGCATTACTGTTAATTATTTGTATTATTTAAGCACCTAAGAGCCTAATTAATAGGCAGGAATTCTGTTCTGCTGGGTGCCATGTAAGTGGAGGAAACAGTGGTCTCTTATAAAATTTGCATCCTATGTATGCTTTCTGCAGTTAATTTCCTACCTATCTTGTGTTTAAAATTAAAAACAAAATGTAGAAAAGAAGTGTACAAAGTGTACAAAGATAAAAAAATCTGTTGGTTCCAGCAGGAAAAATATAAAATAATCTGTGGTGATAAATGCACTTATTTAAGTTGACGTGCGTACATACCCCTCCTTTCAGGGCCAAATCACATTTCCATTGAAGTAAGTGGGAGTTTTGCCAATGATTTGTGTAAGCCCAGCGTTTGGTATTAAATGCATACCTGAAGATTTAATATTTTTCTTTTGAAATCAGCTTGCTCACTAGGCAATTTAGGAATTTTCCTAACTTAGTGAAATTAAGACAATTATAAAAAAATAGTCAGACATTTTTTCTTCATAACACGTGCTAGGTCTCCTGTTTAAGCCATTTTGCTATAGGTGCTTATAAATGGGGTTAAAACTCTTTTTTCTTTTTTTTTCCTTTTTTTTTTCTTTTTTTCCTTTCCTCAGCCTTTCAAGGAAAGTTGAAGCAACATGTTTAGGTCAATCCTGGAAAACATCAGCCTGAGATATAAATGCTTCCAAAAATTATGACTGTGTGAAATGGAATTATAACTGAGACCATTTTGTAAGCCTTAGCTGTAGCTGGCCCTACGAAGGATCTGCCAGATACGTGAGGCTTCGGTTGAATGATGTGCTACACTAGCTCTAATATTGCAGAGTGATTATAAGGGATCATTCCATGATGCAGGAGAAAATCACATTTCTTAAATAGCTTATAAACAGTGTTGAAACTAGGACCTTAAGCTGGGTGTGCGCTATTTGTCCCACTGGACAGCACATAGAAGGTTAAACCTGGACCACACTTTTTTCGAAGTTAGTAGTGTGTTACTCAACTTTATGTAGGTTGCTGAATCTATTGGGATGGAAAGCCATCTTAAATTATGCCTTCAGCTTATTTATGAACTGTGCATGAAAAACACTATACCAGAAAAGTAACAGCCTGTAATAGAGGCCAGCTTGAAAATCTTTTTATAGGGAAGATTAAAGAGGAAAGAACGAAAACCTTTGAAATTTGTGGGTTTTTTTCCAATGGTGTTTGCCTTTTCTCAGCTTCAAGACTTAACCATTTTGACATCTCCTCCTCCCCCCAAATTACTAAATTGGATAAACCTGCTGCCCCCTGGCCCTGCCTCAACCTCAAAGCCTTCCCCTTGGTTTTGACCACAGCCAAAAACCTTTCCCCTCTTTTCACACCTTTGCCCAGCGCTGTGCAGGCAGAATTTGCAAGCAGCCTCTGGCACTGCTCTGCCTCGATTGCAACAGTTGTCATCCCAAAATGTTGCACGCAGGTTTACGCTGCTGAGCCTCCCTCCGCGCTGGATTGGCGCAAGTGGTGGAAGAGGGGAAAGCAAAGGGAAGAAGGAAAATTGAGATAAGCTCTCAAGTGTATGAGATGCAGCACAGGGTAGTTTGAAGAAAGACTGCTGGCGCTAGCAAGCACGATGATATGACTGGCCTTTAAGATGCTGTGGCTGTGCAGCTGACAGTAAATATTTACCGTAAGGCTACTTCTTGCACTTCTCTGTTGTATAATACATTTCTAAGTGCTCTGAAATGGCTATGGCATAATGATTTTTTTTACTTTTCTCAAAGAAAAAGGGGAAGGAGAGATGATGTGGCAGCAGCAATGTTGACACGAGTTTTGTGTTAATTCTTTTTTTTCCTTCAGCAGTGCCCTGTTGAATTGTAGGTGGTCTTTGGTCCATTTCTTCACTCTTTCTACTGATGATTTATTTCTGTGCTTTGAGTGTATTTATGATGTTTCTTTTATTGTTCCTCATCCATTTGGCTGCTTTTTACACTGCAGTTTGTATAATCCTCCATTTTTATTTTTTGGCTGGAGTGTGAAATGTGCTAGTCGTCTTAAAAAATATACAAAAACATAATGGAGTATAAAATATGCATGGCCTCAAACTAGAAGAATAATGTGTCTGGCATATTTTTATGCAGTTGCAAGCACCAACCCTGAACAAGGCCCCACTTCCCTTGGGTTTTTTTAAAGGATTTTTTTCTACCTGTAGTGAAATTAATGATGTTACTGTGCTCCTTTTAAATACTAGCTGTATCCAAAGTGCAGACATTAGATAATTGATGTTTTACCTTTGGAAAGGATAGGTACTTGTTTTTTTGATTGCCAGTACCCATCTTGACACTTGTTTTGCTTCTTCCTGGTATACACCAGACATGGGACTGGTGGCAGGCGAGGGGAGGGTGGCAGTGCGTGGGCTTTAAAAGAGCTGGGCAATTCTCATCTCCCTGACCGCTGGATAATGACCAGGGGAAAGATGTGTGTCAGGAGGTGCTCTGAGAAGCTGGGGGTGCTCTGAGAAGAGAAGGGAATGAAACTCAAGGAGGAGAGCAAATTTAACCATAGGGAAGGCTATTGCAAATAGCAAAATATGATCTGCTGAATGAATTAATCTAGCAAAGCAGTGGCGCGTGCCTGTCTTTAGCAGGAGGCGTATTAGGTAGGGACAATCCTGCTCTGGTGCGCAGGTGACCAGAGCTGTACGGGTGGTATGTCCCGTATGGGCCCAGCCTGGTAGCGCGCTTGACGCGAGCTGCCCACAGCTTTCCTAACCTGCTCCTGTGTTTCCCTTTCCCCATCTCTGCTGCCCGGCACATGCGGACCCCAGGAGGCTGCGAGCTCGACCTGGCCTGCTTTGTCCAGCTGATCAACGAGATGGGGGGGATGCAGCAAGTGACTGACCTCAAGAAATGGAACAAGCTGGCAGACATGTTGCGCATCCCCAAAACTGCACAGGACAGGCTGGCCAAGCTGCAAGAAGCCTACTGCCAGTACTTGCTCTCCTACGACTCCCTCTCCCCAGAGGAGCACAAGAAACTGGAGAAGGAGGTCTTGCTGGAAAAGGAAATCTTGGAGAAGAGGAAAGGACCTTTGGAGGGACATTTGGAGAATGCCTACAAGTTCCATTCCTTGCCCCGGTTTGAGCCCAAAAACGGACTCATCAACGGCGTGGTTCACAAAAATGGCTTCCGCAACAAGTTAAAAGAAGTCGACGTCCCACTGAAGACGGGCAGGCGGCGGCTCTTCGCTCAGGAAAAGGAGACCACGAAGGAAGACGAGGAGGAGGAGGAGGGAGTTCTTAGCGACTTACACAAGTGTATATACAAGGTAACGAGACAGGCTCTGCCAATTTTGTTTTGTAGAACTGAGGAGGCTGTTGTCTGGGTGGCATCTGGGTGCAAATGCAGCCGCCCGGGGAGAGCCGATGGGCTGCATTGCCCCCAAAGGCAGCAGTGCAGCCAGCAGCTATCACAGCTGGGTGGTCTGGTGGCTTTATCCTGATCTGCCTGGCTTTTGCAGAATGTCTGGAAAAGCTGGAAGGTGTTACTGTCATAACGAGATTGCACTGGGCTCTGCCCCCCTTTGTCTCCTTGTGAGAGGTTCTCTGAATAGCTCTGTCCACTTATCCTTGCGGACACAGTTTTTGTTTTCATTTTCTAGTGACATTTAAATTAATTTTCTGCTTTCTCATTCCTTCTTGCAAGTTTCTTATTGAGCGCAGTAGTACTCCACATCAAAACTAACATCACTAGAAATACTACTACATTTAGAAAGGGCAAATTGAAATGCAAACAATATTTTCATCCGCGATGCCAGATTTTGCTTAGCACGAGCAGTCACATGGACACTTAGTTCTCCACATATCAAGTACATCCATTTACGAAGGAATGCTGACTCTTTCACTGTATTTTATTTGGCAGTCTCCTACTCTGGAGCAGGACTTGGCAGTGCAACTCACAGTGCAATTTTGAGTTGCGTTGAATTGTGTAGCCGTGCTCTGAGAGAAATAGAGCATTGAGTGTCTGTGCCCAGTAAAGGAATACGCTGTTTTTCCCCTTCCAATCTCACTTCCATCACCAGGAAATGAAGCCAGATAGCCCAAAGTGGCTTATTGTTAAGCTATTTAGGGACTGCATGAGCTCATGGCGAGCTTTAAAAGCTTGCTTCAGGTTTCTTTTGCAGCCTGTTATGAATTGTCAGCCCCAAAATTCTTTTATTCGGGGCCTCCGACCTCAATCCCACCTTTGAAAAGCAGTCTCTTTGCCATGCTGCTGTTGGAGAGAAGCTTATCTAATGACAGCAGCATTTGTGAATAGTGAAGTGGCATTTCTGTGCTTAATGATGTTAAATGAAAAATTTGATACAACTTACTCTGACTGGTATATGAGCAACCTCAAACTTGGTGGGGGAATGCCTCCATCTTCTTTTCCAGTGCAAGTCCCACGTTAAAGTTGGGAAGATATAAAGCAACTCAAAAAGCAAGATTAGGATTTGTGATAAGTATCCTAATCAGACTTAGAAAATGAAGAAAGGCAAGCAAGCAAAGTGCAGCTAGTATAACCAGCCCATATCTGTTGAGCCCCAGACCTTTACCCCCAAAAGGCTGAGAGCTCCCAAATTGCTGCTGCTGCTGCCCAGAAAGCACTGGCAGTACTGACAGCATCAGACCCCGTATCACCGAGCCAGCAGGCCAGCGCTCTCCCCACCCACCAAAGAAGCTGCGGCACGCGGAGCTGCTCAGGCAATGCCTCGTGTTGTCTGCCGTAGTGCCGTCAGCTTCCCGGACACTGGGGCTTGCCTGTTTGAATCCCATCCAGTGCTCGTCTGTGATGAAGATACTGCGGACTGGTCAGGAGATGGACCGGGGATCAAACAGGGGGAAGCAAATCTGCGGTGGGTTTCTGGAGAGATCCCTGCTGTGGAATACCCTGTGGGATGCTTGGTCAGTCTGAGTGCAGAGGCATGCAGCTTCATTTCCACAGCGCTTGGCGGGGAAAGCCCTGTAGAAGGACTGATGCATGAGAGCAAGTTATGTCACTTAGAGCAAGCCTCAAGACATAGAAATAAGAAATTATGCAACAATCTTGGTGCACCAGCGTAACCAACAAGACTTGTAAAATGACTATAGTTCATCACTAGGCTTTTTAATAAGACTGAGGTGAGGTGGTGCTGGCTTATAGATTTAAGCAGAGGGTAATTGATGGCATTTTATGAAACAAGCCTTTTAATACTGCATTCTCTCTTTTTCTTCAATGATGGTATCCTTCTGTGTGCGTGTGTCTGTGGAGGGAGGAGTGTTCTTTACCTATTAACGTGTTTCTGAGAAAATCTGAAATTTGTTTAACAGAACACATCATGTTACAGTTTCCACAGATGATGGGATTGCAATGGTTCTTTTCTAAAGCGCATTGCTAATTATAATTAAAAATAAAAAAATGCATACAAAACAAAAAAACACAAACCCACCTCTTCGATAAATGTCCAGGTGAATAGATTGAGGGCTGGAGGAGAACATAGTAATCATATGGCTGTAGTCCAGTTTAGGCCATAAATTCTATGCTGCATACCACGAAGAGGCCGTGTATTCGGGATTTCTCACAGTAATTTCTGCAGTCAGCACGTGCTTGAGCTGAAACATGTTTTTAGAAAGAGACATCCAGTCTCATCCAGGAGCAGTTACCACCATATCGCATGTCAAGCGTAGAGTAAATTACCTTTGTGTTTGGCTGACTTTCTTCCAGGGCTCCCAAATTATACTCTGCTGCTCCTTTCCAGGCTGTAAGGCCTGCTGTGCTTTTAAGTGGGTGCTGCAGGCTGCTGTGCTTGCTTTCTTTACTCTAAAATGTATGGCTTTTCTACCTGACTAATAAAATGTTGTCGTTTGTAAGTATGTGAAGGAGACTGCTGTCATCAAAGAAGGATCTGCTTGCAAGATTTTCACTCTTCTCTTCTTTCCTCGGTTTTAGCTCTGAAAATATTTTAAAAATCTGTGCTGGAACTGCCTGAAAACAGCATTTGTTTCCATACAGAACAAACTGAAGGCTTATTAGCAGACCCATTAGAGGGACACGCAGAAGAAATCACCAACGCAAGTTTTGCCAGCCTTCACATGAAACTGTCACAGAAATCCCATGCTGAGCTCTCTTCAGCCGGGCACTTGGCATTTTTGGATTCTGCTTAACAGGAGTCCCTCCTTCCTTCCTGTGACTATTGTGAAATCTCTGTTGTCTGCTCATTTTTTTGGTTGCTTTAACATCTTTAACATATGTAGTGTTGCAGTGTCTTTTTCCATGCCTTCCCTGCAGGCTTGGTCGTGGTGGTGATGATGCTCTGGGTTGGCTCTCATAGCCACCACAGAGGCCATGGAGAATTAGGAGAGGAAATAGGAAATTCTGTCCCTTAAACCTTCCTCTGTTGTATTGTCGCAGAAACAGAAACTCTGCGTAGTAGCTTGAAGCTTCCAGTTGTTGAACTATTGAAACATTTGTGAGGGCATTGAAAGGGTATTCTCAGCAATTCATTTTGTGTTCAGGTTAAAATGCTCTATCACAGCATTTTAAATTATTTTCTGAGTTGGCATTAGAAAATTTTGAGATCCCTCAGATTAAAAAAAACCAACAACCCAAACCAATAAAAACCAGACAACAAAAACCCCTCAACTGTTTACTTTGTGTTACAACTTTTAGGAGACTGAAAAAATGCCAAGTTCTTGATAGAAGAAGAAATGAGTATATGCAGTTTTTAAGGGCTAAACTCTTCAGGTTTTCTGCTTTCTTTTTTTCTTGTTGGCCACATATCTGAAAAATGGACAGGCGTGGTTAATCTTGGAAGATGAGTCCTTATTCTTGTTTTTCTGTGTCAGATGAGAGGAAGAGGCGAGTAACTGAAACAAGGAAGCTGCTGCAGAACTTGTGTTGGTTTGTGAGTGGTGAAGTCTATGCTCAAGTGTGAAGGCTGTTGGTGCAGGCCCTGCATTTTACGAGAGGTTTTGTTGTAAAAGGCTGCCTCAATAAATGATTCATGAGGGCATTAAAAGATGAAGGAAATTGCTTATTGTATCACAGAGCATCCAACTCTGAAGTTTATGGGAATCAGAGGGCCCCAGGCCCTGGGCATTTCACAAACTTTTTTGTTACAGCTAATTATGCTGCGTTCAATTAAAAAAGTGACAATTTACAACCATAGGAGCATGTCAAAGTGATAGACTTGGCCTCTGGGGGAAAAGCTGCTTATATGGTTGTTTCTAGTTTACTCTTGGGCATAGTTCTTAAATAAATTAAACACAAGAAAAGACGGAGGTGGTTTGGCAGATCTGTTTTGTAGTTGGAAAACTAGAAAGGTAATAATAGTCCAAGTAATAAAATGTTCCTTTATGTGGAGTTTTTAAGTCGGTGGTTCCTCAGATGGGCAACTAGTGGACACAATGGGAGTGAGAGGACGGACCATTAGATCTGGCGAGGGGGCAAAGATATTTTCAACTTCATGTTTGCAGAGCAATGCTAGTCTCTTCCTGCAGTGACGGCTGCAAACCAGTATGGTCACAGCAGCTAGTGTGTCACCTGCCAGCTCTTGTGGCTCACAGCTTCCCAGGATGTTTCTTCTGCCCTGGAGCGGAGAAGGTGATAGGAGTGTCCCTCTTTGGGCATACACTAGTATGTCTGGGCTGAAAGGAGCAAGCAGGTTCTCATGCTTCTGCTTTCAGAGGATGCTCGCCAGAGCGGCTGGTGTTATAGTTATGTGTGAAGGCAGATATCCAGAAACTTAGGTGTAGCTCAAGCAGAAAACCAAGTCAGATCCTCTTCTCGTACAGCTCCTGCATAAGTGCCAAGAAAGAGCGCACTCATTTGGCAATTTTGCTGTGTTTTGCGTTTCTCAGCCTTGTAATAACAGGTCCCGGTTCCTTGCATTTGAACTGCTTTTACAGAATTGAGCATAACTAGTTTTTGTAAGCAGGTGATTACTGTAATCTTGGTAAACTCTACTTTTTGTGACCCCCTTCCATCACATACAATACTAGTTTGATGCTGAACGTTTCTGTGAATTTCCTAAGTCTTTTTCACCTGTTTCTCTGTATTTAAAGAGCGTAGCCACACGGTCCTTTGATCACATATTGGATTTGATTGTAAAATGTAGGCAGGGTTGCCTACTGGGTCCTTTGCAGCCTGTCACAGAAAGCTGGGCCATGTCTGTCTTCTCCATTTATCAAACCCAGAGTGTCGTGCTGGACAAAGCAGTGTATGCGGCCTTCTGGGAACATTCAGTTGGCCTTCTAGATGGTTGGTTTGGGGAGTCAATGTGATTAAATGTCTGTATATTTTGAGGTATTTTGCCCTCAGATAAGAAATGAGCTTTAGACCCACGCGTGTTCTGAAGACATTGTGCTCTTTCCCCCTATGGTGAGCTGGGATTGAGCATATAAGGAAAAGAATGAGGCCAGGGGGAATGGAGGCACAGTTTTTTATTTTCACTTTTAATTTTATTTTCTTTTTCCACAGGGTAGGTCTGTTTCTTTAACAACGTTCTACCGAACAGCGAGGAACATCATGAACATGTGCTTCACGAAGGAGCCTACAGTAGCTGAAGTAGAGGTGAGGCCAACACAAGGGGTGGTAAAAGTTTTTATTTCAGGGGATTGAGCGTGGGGATTCAGTATAGTTGACATTCAGGCATTGCCATAAGCAGTTTAAGGCTGTCTAGTGTGGGAGAAAAATAAATGGTTAGATAGACATGGTACCGATTCTTCCTTTTAAAAATTTTTTGACAGTTTTAATAAAGGTATTGATGAACTGAGGGAGAGAAAGAAGTCTTAATCTGTCGTGTGCTGAAGCACAGGAGCCAAGAGGATCTAAATTCTGTCTTTCCAATTCATTGCGATTTTTAAGTACTTATCTTCTTAACTGTGTTTTATGTTGAATTACATTGAGGTCATGAAAGCCCTGTAAATTTCTGAGGTTTATATTTTAATGACGGAAATGTTGTTCAGTGAATTAAAAATGCACTACTGCTTTCTCTTGCCACAGCAAGAATATTGGCGGATAGTGGAACAGAAAGATTGCCACGTAGCAGTGCATTGTGGAAAAGTAGATACCAACACTCATGGGAGCGGCTTTCCCGTGGGAAAATCTGAACCATTTTCAAGGTAAGATCACCAAATCCACCTGCATTATCGACTCGTGCCAGCTGCCCCGTTGTGCTGAGTGGAGGTGGGGACGCCAGGCTGGCAGGGCAGCTTGGCGCTGGGGATGTTGGCACCGGGAACATGCGCTGACATGTGACTGCCTCTCTGTCACCCCTCAAACAGGCATGGGTGGAACCTCACAGTCCTTCCTAATAATACAGGATCCATCCTGCGACATCTTGGTGCTGTGCCTGGTAAGCAAGTCTCTTTTTTATGTTTCCAGCAGGTGTAGGTGTCCTCTGTATGTGGTGGTGTAGTCACCAAACTCTTCTCCCTCTTTCTGGCCCCTCTGTTCACCAGCTGACCGGGTAGACATGCAGTTGTATGTAGCAGGAGGCATTTAAAGGAATGAAGGCAGGTGTGCCGATAAAGAATTAATGAATAGTTGAGACCTTACACCTGGGAGGAACCAGTTGTACTTGCAGTATCCCTTTCTGTTGTTGCCAGTACATCGGCGTTCTTGCTTTGTGTCAGGCTGATAAAGGACAGAGCCGTGCAACTTCCTTCCTTGCAAACCTAGTCTGTAGCGCTGGGGTACAGGCAAGGTAGCCGCCCACCAGTTTTCTAAATGAATTGTCACGAGTGCTCCAGCTGCATATGTGCAATTGCAATTTACTGGTAGAAACATTAGCTGAAAGCATAATTCAGTCTCCTGTGAGTCTGAACAAGCCAGCCGGGAAACAGGATACCTGTTTACAAGTACATGTACACTTGACAACATGAAGCAAGCTCCTCTGATTAATGGCATTGAGCTTGAATTATGGGTGTTCGTAAATTCTATAAAGAATCAAGATCTTTTACAGCTATTAGAAAACAAGTACGTTCGAGGGCACTGTATGAGGGCACTGTAATGTGCCTTAGTGGAAAATGCTAAATTCGTTAAATTCTCTGTGAATTATTTACTCTGGTAGGAAGACTTAAAACTAAGGGTCAGCTCGCAGGTATAACAACGTTTCAACTGAAATGCCCTCTGAAACTGTTTTTTAATTAGAAACTGCAGTTACTCAAAACTCATTTTCAATCTCTCTGTTTTAGGAGTGACAATTCCTTGGCTAAATATTGGCATGGTCTTTTCTACCTCATGCTGGTCTCGAGACCAAAATCACCTTCCATACATTGACTACTTACACACTGGTGCTGATTGCATTTGGTAGGTATTCCTGTTTTGTTTTCTTCACATTCTCCGTGGTGGCTGACTGTAGGCTGGCGTTAACAGCAGCTTGTGTAGTACCTTTTGCATGAATGAATCTCACGTAGAAGGTCCAGTGTGTGTGTGATTACAGTTTGAATGGGAAAATGTAGCATGAACTTAAGGGATGAAACACCCTGTCCTGGAAAAAGAGTTTCACTTTATCTTCCATGCTCTTTTCTGAGATATTTAGCAATAAATTGTTGCTGCTTGACATAGGGTTTAATCTATGGAAAGTTTTCATGACATGGAAGCCAAATGACAGCTAGTCAAGGTAGGCTTTCCTTAGGCTGACAGAGACACACTTGTCAATCTAGCTCCATGTTGTCACTTGTAAAATGATTGAATCTATGCTTTGACTAAATAGGCACTGCTTTCTTATTTTACACTAAATATCTTGTACTCTATATCTACCAGGTCCCTAGTATTTTCTCTCGTATGAATTTTTTCATTTTCATATGTTAATAATTTTTAATATGATTATACACATCATTCTAGTGTCTCAATGAGGGCATGGCCAGTTAGCTGCTAGCTACGTTTCATGTTTTGTAGATACTTCGTGCAAATAGACTTAACACTCAGCTTATCGATGGTTTTGAACATAGTGAATCCTTCCTGAATTCAGTGCATACATACTACTATGGATGATGATCAGTTAGGTTGCAATGGAAGTACAACAGCTGATGGAGGGATTAGAGGAAGCAGGTGCTGCTGGCATGTCACGTGCCTTTCTGCCAGGTTCCTATGATATTGGTGTCACCTCCCAAGAGGATCATCAGTGAGAACAATGAATGATAAGCAATGTAACTGTGTTTCTTGATCAGAGAAAACGCAATAAATGGAGAAGAAAAGTTGTTTAAATGGTGCCCCCCTGCAAAGGTGAGAAGCCGGTTCCCTTCTAGCAGTTCCCCTTTTGAACCCTGAGCTACAGAAGCCTTTGGCTCCTTGTCTCATGTGACGGTAGAAGACCTGCAGGATGCCCTTTACATCCGCCAGTTCCTGTGGTGGCAGTGTCAACTGCATTTCATTCACCTGCAAAGTGTGCACTTCAGCCCTTACCTTTAAGGCCCGTATTTCTCAGCTGGCGCTGATGTCAGCAGTGCTGACCCAGCTGTCACTGGGAAAGCACATGGCCCAGAAAAAAGGATTTGAAACCTTGGAGAAAATTATTAAAGCAGGAGCTCCTCTCTCTAAATATTTTAAGTTGGAGAAGTGTTTGTGATCATACCAAGGGGTAAAGATAAACACTGGATTATGCTGCAGACTTGGGAGTTTCTGTCACTTTCTGTCATGGGCTCTTCCCCCTCTTCTGTGAATCAGGAATCTGTTATCTTTTATAATAATATACTATCAGAACAAATTGCTAAGCAAGCTATGTTGTCCTCAACCTTAGGTGAGTCTGTTTCTCTCTGACATTCATCTAATCTTATTAAATGACAGTAAATTCCAAACAGAAGATGTTCAGGAATCCCATAATTAAGTTCCGAGGCCACTCTTTGTACTGTGCATGTCAAAACATATGCCTTTTGGGATTGAAAAGACCTGAATGCAGCCAGACAGCGTTTTGGGGAAGGCTACTCTTTCTGTTTTTCGAAGCCAAGAAAAACAAAACCAAAGAAGCCATTTGCTTTTTCTTGATGGGCTTACTTACATGAGTGCATAGCTTCAGGTGTACTTGTGATGATTGACTTGATGAAACATGGATAGTAAGCAGGAATAGCTCATAAGAAGGAAGAAGTGAAACTCCTTTGTCTATAAAAGGTATTCTTCAGCAAGGCTGCCAGGCTGAAGTGTCAGGCTAATACGCATTATTAACTCATTACAACTTTTCATATTGCAATAAAGTACCCAACTTTATTGAGGAAAAGATTAATTTAATAACTCTAGGTCTGGTGTAGTATCTGGAGTAGCCCTGACAGCATTGCTTCAGTGATAACAAAGAAGATGACTGGGCGCCAAACCTCTTCTCTGTCTTGCCAAGTCCACCCAGCACCCAGAATTCTTCTCTTCCAGCACCACAGATCCCTGTGCTGCTAAAATCAGTGGTACGTTATTTACCTGTAGATTGCGTAGGTCACTGTGTAATCTCTCAGATTTGCCTCCTGCATAGGAAACATGGGAGAAGTCAATTTTCATGTAGGACAGAAGTCAGTGACCTAACCTTTTTATTCAGGAAGGTTCCTTAGTGCCCGTTAAAAGAAGAAAATCAGAAGTCAATGCTGGCTGCTCACTTCCCATTTTAGAGGTACATGAAGAATTATGAGTGAGTGAAATTGCAGCATACGCCTCAGTCCTGCCAGTAGTCAGATGGTCCCATGCACTTCTGTGATGCCCTTCCTCTTCACATATCCTTCCTGTGCTTTTTCCTGGGCCAATCTTCTGAGGGACTGCACGCTTGACACTCTCAGCTGTTCCAGCTAAATTTTCTGATTCTAAAAGAAAAGAGTGGGCTCTACCATGTTCTGGATTTGAATGAAAAATATTTTCATCACCGTTTAAAATCTGTTATTATAGGGTAACTAGAGTAATACTTTACACATATGCAGCTGTTCTGCAGCTGTCGCTGTTAGCAGTGCAGGTACTGCAAAGTATTTGATACACAGCGTGCATTTAAAATTGCTGTTGGGACTTGATGCTTAGCAAGATGAGGTTCTTCCGCTTCACCCCTCTATAACCCTAGGATTTCTTAGCAAGGTCCTAATCATTGTCAATATGTATGTAAGGAGTCAGTCTATGTACACCTGGGCAGCCAGCTCATTAGAGTCCTTATTGTGGGTACAATTAGCAGTACAAGTAGATATTGTCATCTTTTCTGGTTCTCGGCTTGAAGATCAACAAAGACAAACCAAAGTCATCACCAGTACAGGGAACAGTAACGAGATGTTCAAATCATAGGAAGTACAGCCTCCTACAGACTAATCAAGCAGGATAACTCTGTATGATGCATACAGAGTTAATATTAGTGCATATTATAAGCAAATATTCTCACAAGGTCTGTAAGGCCAGCAGAACGCTCAATGAAACTGGTGGAGAGATGGGATGGATGTCAAGAAAACTGCACCTTTTCACCAGAATCTTTCCAGATTATTTCTCTTCTCTTGTTGCCAAGTTTGGAAAAAATCTGTGTGTGTGTGTGTCTGGCATGGGCGTGGGTGGGATCCAGATTGAGGTCCCATTGCTTAAAGTGAACTGAGATAAGTCATTATAAATCTGGAGATGCTTTTTATTTGCCTGAACATAACAAATCCAAATAAAGTAATGTCATAGATAAAGCCCAGCATGGCAGCAACTGAAGACAGGTTTGGGAATCCCAGGGTTTGCAGTGTTTCCCACTGAGCTGTGCTGCTCAGTTCGCAGGTGTCAGGTACCAACTACCAGATCGTGGGAACAGGTGTCTCCTGGGTGGACATAAACCATTACCCTTCTGGCAGGGTGCAAACAAGAGCGGAGGCTAATTGTCACCATATCGCCTCCCGGCATCCAGCAAAATAGCAGTTCTCCGGATGGATGAAGCAAAGACCTGAGCCTCCTATGAGTCTTGTCACTTCTGTATAGGGAGCACTGCTGGCAGTGAGCACGCAGAGGACAGCAGCTTCTAAAGGACAGGACGATGTGCAACTCAGCATATACCCAGCAGAGTTTTAAATCTTTCTTGCTGCCTTGGCTGCTCTTAGTCAGATCTTTCTTTTGTTGCAAGGGAGGGGAGGGATGTGGGATTTGCTTAGTAAGCAAGGCAAAGAAGGTCTTAGGCTAGTTTGTATACTAACAGTAAAGGTGATTTGTGGTTTCTTGATTGTTACAAACAGAGACTGTTATTAAATAAAAAGATCCTTTGTTTAATGCACGGGTGAAAAATACAACCATTTAAGATAAAGATAACGGAACGTATATTGGTGCTCATGAGATGCAACCTTTTGCTCAGAATTAGCTGGTTTGGTGCCATTAAAATGAACATCATTCTGTTGCTGATTTCTTTCGTCTGATTCTACAGAGCACTGAGTTTTCACATTTCTGTTTTGGGGGATTTTGTGTTCTTCAGCATCTAGTGAACACCATCAGACTGAGTCTAAACAAACAGCTTTCCATGAATCCTCAGTGTTTTACCAAAAAGAACTGTGTGGGAAAACCTGTGTTTAATGTCTTTCTTCTAATCAATGTCCTGGTCTGAACTGCCTGTTACTGTGTAGCTGTGGACCATTATTTACTCCACAGTAAATCTTTCTCTTTTCTTCTGACAAAACAAAATGTATTGCATTAAAAAAAATTTCCTGCTGCGGAGGAGAACAAACTTGATGATGTGGTACATACCCTGCTGCAAGCCAATGGCACTCCAGGGCTGGAAATGCTTGAAAGTAATGTAATGGTAGGTTAATACTGGGAGAGGTATTCCCATTTGAGAACCCAAGGCTAATCAGAAGGCTGGTTGTTTGGGCATTTCTTTTGATTTTGTCTTGCACTACAATGATGTGGAGGCTGTTGTTAAAATCTGGCTACTTTCTACTTGCAGTGTTTACCCACTTGCCTTTTTTCTGACAAGGCTCACGTGTTAAAATGTTGAAATAAAAATAAATGTGGCAGTGCAATAAATGTCTGTTTTTAGGACTGTCCGTAATGTATTTAACCCCACAAAGGGAGTGTTTTGTAATCAATTAATCTGCCATACTTGCTATTTTATGATGCCAGCATGCATATGAGAAGCCTGATACTTCAAGGGATTTCAAAGTATTTTTGGCTCCCTTGTTTATTTTGTGGATAACAATTTCTATTTAATGCAGTTAAGTATACATTTGGGAGCCCACAACATAAACAACTCCCTCAGCTATCCATGTTAACTTCTCTAACAGAAGCACGGTAGCAAGGTGGATTCAATGCCAAGTCTGAAAGGATCTAGATGGAAAGCAGAATGGCCCGTGCTACTTTCTGTAGTAGATGATAGTATTGTTTTGCGGCTTTGTGCTTGAGATTGTTTGACAAGTGGAAGTTTAAACTGTTGGTTTCAAAAGAGCCACTTCTGTAATTCTCCCTCCAAAGACTAAGCTTCAGCTTGTGCAGAAGGGAAGAGAGAAAGCAAACAGAGCTGAGCTGTTGGCAGAGCACAGCCTTTCTCCATGGTAGCGTGTGGCAATACCCAGCAAGGAAGGTGATCTCACTGTAAAAGAAAGTTCTGATTTGATTTTTTTTTCTTCTTTTATTAATTTTTTGTTTGTTTTGTTTTGCTTTTATGTCTTTCTAGATCTCCCCAGAAATCTTGTGTAAGGAGGGGATCAGGGTGCACCGTACTGTACAGCAGAGCGGGCAGTTTGTTGTCTGTTTTCCTGGATCCTTTGTGTCTAAAGTGTGTTGTGGCTATAGTGTTTCTGAAACAGTGCACTTTGCTACCACCCAGTGGACAAGTATGGGTTTTAAAACAGCCAAGGTAAGTTGAGAAAAGGAGTTAAAATGGATTCACGGCCCTGCCATCTAAAACGACAGCAAACCAGACATTCCAGGATTGATAGTATTATGAGACTAGTACAACTACATCTATTTTTGTGGACTACTAAATAAAAAAAGGAAAAAGTTCTGCAGGGCATAAGATGACATTTCAGTGTTTTCTGAAAAGCGACAGAGGTAATAATTGATAGCTAAAAACTTCTGTATATTTGAAAAATTCAGAAGATTGCTGTGCCTGCAGACCAGTTTGCAAGGAAGCTTTTCAAAAATCCCTTCAGAGCTAATGATAATACACTGTATTATGCGTACTAATTTTTTCTAAGTGTTTTCTAGAACCATTAGAATCTCAGGTGCAAATATCTGAATAACTGTGCTTGTTAGTTCCTATGATAGGCAGAGTCAATTAATACTCACAGCTGTATTGCTTGTCTTTCTCTGCCCCTTCATTCAGGAAAAGCTGTTGATCAGGGCAATTTCAATTTTAATCGACTTGAAAATCCTTAGGTTCACTGGCCAGCCCATCCAGTACTAACCTGTAAATAAAACTAACTTCATGTTCCCTTTTCACACAACTGAGGCACGTTGTCTGAAGAAACAAACAGGTGAATTGCCTAGTCATCATGATTTTGGTGACATCTCTGTTCTCGGACAAAGAATATGTGTCACTAATTGTGTTCCCAACCTCCTCAAATACACTATGGGTTATAGATGCTATTTTGGTAGTGTTTTATAGCTAAGCCACCAGTAAATTATCATTTACAGCTTCAGACCAAGTGGTTAGTAAGTAATAAAATGTAATATGTCCACAGTTAGGTTTTGCTTATTTAGGGTTAATGGAATTCTTCTGGCCTGGTTATACTAACTGTATATTAACTTAGTTTGAAATAAAAGGTTATTTTATTACAGATTTATTTTGGGGGAAGGTGGGGATTGTATATGTGTGTAGGTAAGGAATGAGAATTCTGAGCTAACCTTTTCTGTCTGAAGGTACACAATTATATTAATTCCATATGCTGTATTTATTGCTCTACTGAACACTTGTTTGATATTGTGAAAATGCCACTCCTGTAAGAGACAGAAATCACTATGCAGCAATTAAAAAGCTCTTATTGGTGCCTCAAATTCTGAAGAACAGTTTCTTTTGATTAATTATAAAGAGCTTTGCACTGGGTAAATATAAGCTGACTGAAAATGCAGCCTATTCCAATCTATGATAACCTACCTTGGAAAGTGAAGTCACAACTCTCACAGACTTTGCAAAACCACAGATATATGTTTATATGAAACTAAGTCTGGAAACACCTACTGCATTGTTATTTTCCTTCCTTTTTTTTTTTTTTTTTTAATTTTTATTTTCCCCCTTCCACCTCTTCTTTCCTCAAACTATCCGATGTTCTTAACTCCCTTAAGTTTTGGAAATACTTCCTTGGTTCCTTCACTTTGACAAGGCACTTTGCCATTTTCAAAGGCTGGCCAGGATTGTGCTTTTCAGAGGTTGTGAGATATTCTGTGTAACGAACAAGATTCCCCTTTTGGACTGTTAATGAACTCTCTGACAAACAACTGTACCTTCCTGTCTGTCTGTTCTCGACAGCAATATTGACAGTTTTCAGCTGTTTGATACATTAACTTTGTTTTCATTCTGTGATACTGTGACCTGATTTTTTTTATAGTGACTCTCTTTATATTACTACTAAACAATGTTGTTTCCTTTCATGTATTGAATGACTGCTCAATTTCCTTTAATATATGGAAAAAATGAAAATCTGCATCTGAAATTGCATTGATTTCAGTTTATAAGGAGTTGGGATAATTGTTGGAATAAAGGCGATTGTATAAAGCCTGTGTAAAAGGACAGACAGATTTCACCTAAACCATACATGGAACCAGGTTGCTGGCTTATAAAAAACACCCTAAGAGCTCTTGGAATTTTAAACTAAGGATGAGGAGAACATTTACAGGTGTGGTGGAAGAGTGTGTGTTTGGAATGACAAAGGGGTAACTCCATGTCCTCAAAAAAGGCATTGGGCAAAGTCGGTAAAACTCATTTAGGAAACAGGAAAGCAGAATATTGGACCAAATGAATGCACACTGATCTAGAGGTTTGGAAAGAAGAAGGAATGTTTGGTTTTAAAGGAGGGCTTTGGTGGTATAGGGCCTACCAGAAGCTTGGTGGAAAAAAGAGACTTGGCCGCTACCGTAATACAAGAGGAAGAAGTAGATAGGAGAGATGGGATTAGTCATCCTGTTGGAGCAGCACTGCTGTGCACAGAAGAGACCTTACAGTCAAATGAGCCAGGTTTAACTCTGTCACCAGTGACAGAATCTCTGTGCGCTGATCTTCCCATCCTAAACAGGAAAAGCGTGGTGTTAGCACTGTGTTCCTGACAGTCCAACCAGGAGGCTGGCAGGCACTTTATGTGCATTTCCCCCCGCCCCGCACCACTTCCCCCAAGTTTTAGTCTGGGTGAGAAACGTGCTTTTAAAACACCACACAATTACCACTCCTTGGTTCCTATCACAGAGCTGTCTTAGCCTGAGTAGACTGGGTTGCTTTCAGATGACACCAAATGGGAAGAGGTGCTCCAGAAGCGCACCTGATGTCCTCCAAACACCGGTGGCAATGTGGCCACAGAACCAGGCTAGACTGCTCTGAAGTACGGCCGTTGGTTTGACGCACACACACACGTCTGGTGGTTGTTTGGGTCCTCAGCATCAACCGCGTCGCTCTGCACATCCACCCCTCCTGCTTTGTCATACTGGATGGTGCGTAGATGTAGCCTGTGTCATACTAAAGGAGATGAGAGGAGCTGCGAGGACAGGACATAGGACGATAATGGGAAATGCTGGTCTCTTCCCCCTAGCCAGGATAGTTGTGTTGGTGTGTGATGCCAGAACTGAAATGGCTTTAGGGAGCAGTTAGTCAGGAAATCCACGCGAGGAGAAGAAACTGTCGTCTCGCTTCTCAGCAATGGTGGAGCCCAGTTCAAAACATCACTATCAAATAGCTGCACTGTGATGGTGAGCAGAGGTTAAGAACCTTGAAAGGAGCAGTAAAATGCAAAATATCCACTACTGTGGTGTTTCATTTCAAAAGGCAGCCTCGCATAAAACCGAGGAAGCTTGTTAAATTGAGAATGCAGAAAGAAGGGTTAAGTGTTTGCGTGCAGCATAGAAATTGTTTAAAGATGCCGTGTTACAGGCTCACAACACATGCACATTGCCTAGCAAAGAAAAAATTCCAAAAGGCAAACCCCCACTAAACTTGGCATGGCTAAACAGGAGGAGAAAGGAGTCTGAAACGAGACCAAAAAATCCCTTTTGTGTCCAGAAGATGAAAATGCAAGTAAAACAACCACTCTAGCAAGACGCATGTAAATACACACAAATGCAGACCAAAAAGAGATTTCAAAGAACAACTTCCTAAAGGCCAAAAGAAAAAATTAGTGTGGAAAAGAGTGAGACCAGGGCAATCAACGTGGCCTTTGCAGCGATGTCATGGCCCCCAGGCTTTGAAACTTTTGGAAGATCCAGTTGACGGTGTCTTTGAGCATTTCTGGAAGACTTTTGGCAAGGTTCCTCAGAAAAGGCTGTTAAAGAAATTAATTTGCCACAGGCTGATAAGGAAAGTTCACACACCAGAAAAATAACTGATTTAAAGAGAAGCAGAGAATGGGAACAAATGGTCTGTTTTTATCATCGAGGAAGGTCTCTTACTGTGTTCCTCAGGAATTTGTTCTAAGACGAGTACAGTTCAACATGCCTGTAAATAACCTGGAAAGGGAAGTGAATAGCAAAACTGATCCTTTATACTGGGGATATTAATGTTAATGACAGCAAAAATTAAAGCTATGAGGTGTTACAGAGAGATTTCATGATACCAAGTGATCTGAGTGAGAAAATGAAGTTCAGTGTTGAGAAAACGTTAAGTTACTCAGGAGTAAAAAATAATCCTAATTTGACAGACACAGTGATGGGCTCTAAACAAGCTCTTGCTAACTGAGAAACAGAAGTCTTTGCCTTCCTGTGGAGCTGCCAGCCAAGTGCTCTGGACAGATTTAAAACCAAATCTGAATGTTAGGAACTGCAAGGAGAGAACAGAGAACAAAGCAGAAACATCGCTATGGCGCTGTCTAGGTTCTTGCTATGGCCACGGCTTGAATACTGAATCCCTAATTGCAAAAGGAATATAGAGAAACTAGAAAAAGCACAGTGGAGGTTGATGATTAAAGGTATGAATTAGCCTCTGTATTAAATGTAAGACTACTCAGCCTGGAAAACGGATCATTGAGAGACGTATGCGATAGTAAGACCAGATCAAAAGTGGCAGGGTGATAATTACGATATGAATGGTCGCTGGCGTTCATAACATTGAAAAACATGTCATTAAGGGAAATGATTAGGCACTAGGTCAAAAGCAAACAAGTCTGTTTTAAAATACTTGTCTGTGTATTTCAGTACTGTATGGAAGAGAAAAACGTACATGGATTCAGAAATTCAGATAAATGCACAGATCCAGTGAGTTGTGCTAAAGGCAGGACAGACCCATCTTGGGCTCAGGCGGTCCCTGAGGTGCCAGCCAGCAGGAGCATACCTTGCTTTTTACCCCGGCCACCCACCGTGGCCTTTTATCCTGCCTGCGTCTGGTGCCTCTGTGGGCTTTTGATCTGGCTCGGAGTGGCTGTTCTTATGCAGCCTCGGACAATATGCAAAGCAAATCTAATGTGTGACAAAACTTCTTGTACCACTCCTAAAAGCGCAGCTGTTCTGACCCCAGACAGCCTCTAGCAGAGCCTTCTGAAGAACGCTTTTTGGTCAGCAAAGGTTACTAATCCATTTTATGACATATATATATATATATTAGTTACCACTGCAATGCATGCGATCAGTGTGATTAAAAATGATGAATTTTATGATATATTGGCTCTGATAAAAGAAATGCCAAGAGCACGTAATTAGAGTTACAAAACAGGGTGGAAAAAAAATTAAGGTTAAAGGTGAATCTTTGGTTTTCTTTGTGCCAAGTAGATATTTGGTGGGCTTAACTCCAAACCAAAATGGCACCTTCATGTTACACTCCACTGCTAGCATCATTTGAAAACTCTCTGACTCTTTATAACACAAAACATATCTCTTCAGACACTGGGAAAACTCTAGACTTTTCCCAGGTGCACAGTAAATGGAGAAATTTGCCTACATAAGAATAGCAAAAGGGTTTAAGATACCAAAATCACTCAGTTCATATTGACAGGACTGAAAGATGCAGCTTTAGAAGCTGACACAGAGTGGGAGCGGGAACAGGCAAAACTGAGCAGAACTGAAACCCCCTCTTTTGCCTGTTGTCTCTTTTCCCTGATATCTGCCTGTTTTGCTAGTAGTTGTCTTTTTCATGTTTGTAAATCTGCAAAATAACAGCAGTCCTGGGCTTCAAGCAGGTCAGAATAGAGAGTGCAAATAGTGTATTACTAAGCTGAAGTGATTGGGTTACTCCTGTCGGCCTCCACAGGAAAAATGAATCTTTAGGGAGAGAATTTTGAGGTGTTTGTTGGTTCTTCCACTTCAGTGAACTGCCTGCTCATCTATGCCTGGACATCCTTCTTTTATTTTTCTCATTTTCTTGACATCTCTCCTATCCTTGTCTTTTCCACTGATGAAGTTTAATTTTCTTTTTTGAAAAACGGGTATACCTGAAATGTGGTAATACTGGAGTACTTGCATTTTGCTTCATTCTCTTTCTTACGTGCAGACTTAGCCTGCCTTTTCTCTGGATTAAATTTCACAGTAAAGCATATTAAGAGAAGATAGCATAAAGTTTGATTTCTTAGCCTGTATGCCATCATGCATTGCAGGTGCTTTTTTTGCTCTCTGCTGGCGACTCTGAATAAAAACAAAATGTGAGATAAAACAGGCACTAGAGTATTCTCCGAGAAAGCAGTTGATTGTGACTGTCTGTTGGCAGGCGTTTGGTTTAAGTTTTGTTCTGTGGCATTGTTTCACCTAAAGGACGTGCAGAAAATCTTCTCTCGATAGTCCTTGCAATAGGAAGACCCAATTCAGCAAAGCACTTGGGCACCTGACCTTCCACTGAAAGGACTGGTTTCTAATTAGTGTTTATTTCAGAGTGAAGTTAGTGCTGGATGTAAGCTGGAATGTAAATACGTCGCTTAATTCAGACTATGGAAAGCTTTTACTTTTGGTTGTTTTAAAATGCTACTTTTCACTACATTGTATTAATTCTTTATAACTTTCTATTTTCAAATTTGCTCAACTAATTTGGCAATTTCTGTCCCAGGAAATGAAGAGACGACGTATAGCCAAACCATTTTCAATGGAAAAGTTGCTTTATCAGATTGCAACAGCAGAAGCGAAAAAGGAAAATGGACCGACTCTGAGTACGATATCATCACTTCTTGGAGAGCTCAGGTAACGAATTGGGGGCCTGTTGTACCTATTTTGTTTTCATTGACAGACTCCAGAGGTGGATGACGTAAGTAACCATTTCAGGCATGTCTTGCACCTACTTAACCAAGTAAAAGCCCAGCAAACATACTTGAAGACAGCCACATGTGGAAGAAGCAGTTTCCTTGGCTGTATCTGATGTGAGAGTGCCCATGGTTAGGATGTCTTACTCTAAGAATTCCTTACTTTGGGCACCATCAAAGAATGAAAACTACAGTTTGCCTTGGGTTCTTGTTTTGTTGATTCTTGGTGCCGAGAGTCAAGATTTCCTGATGCCTTAGGTGAGCTACATGGTGCCACGCGGTTAAATGCCTTTCTTCAGTTTTTCAACCTCTTGGCATCAGTAGCCGCTGTCAATCCATGCCTGTCGTGGGTTCTGCACCAGGAACCCTTGCCTTCAGCAGCAAGGTTGTTCTACAATCGGAGAAGGTACTTTGTATACAGAAAGTTGTCTTGATTTAACCCTCTGAATAAGCGAGCAGCTTATGCATGGGTGCTAACAAACACATCTTGCATTAGAACTTGAACGTTTAAAGGAAAAAAACTTCACACTCCTTTTTCTCTCCAGTATTAAGGAAACATGTTTAGGGTTTCTCTTAAGATAGGTAAAAAAAGAAAATATAATGTTGCCTGGCTTCCTGTGTAATGATCTTCTCTTTTGTTCCCTACCATGTAGTTCCTACCTATCTTTCAAGTTTGTGACAACTGGTACTCGAGATGTCAAGAAAGTTTTGATGAATGGAATCTACAAACTGTATTTAACTAACTAGCATGTTCATTTGGAAAATTTCCAGTGACATATTGAAGGGGAAAACACCACATGTGTTGTTTTAGTGTTCAGAAAGAAATACAAAGAGGTGTGCTGACTGCTTTACCTGCAGCTGGTTCCCCTGTGGCAATAATCACTTCTGAGTTCTTTTTTTTTTTTTTTTTCCCTTGAAGAGGAAAAGTCTGCAAGTGCAAAAGGTGAAACAGAAATGTTGGTGCTTGCTGTTAGACGATCACATCGACCTCTATCAGAGTGGTTCTCAAACTCGTTCTTATGCTTAGGTTGGAATTCTCTGGAGGATACCAGTCCTTCCTGTGGCTGCTTATGTAAAACAAAACCCCAAACAGCAAAACCTGAAAACAACCAACCAAAGAGGAACACTGTACCATATTTTTTTTCCCTTTGTTTTGTTTTGCTTGTTTGTGCTGTGTCTTTTGCTGCCTCCTCTCCTGGTCTGTTCTGCCTTGGTTGCTCAGTTTGCCCATGCCATTTGCTTAGCTTGGCTCTCCACCCACCTTCAGCTGGGTCTGGTGGTGAGCTTGCTTATTCCACACTTGCTGTCTTCCGCTCGGCTCCATCCCGACCTGCTGTCCTAATGCTGTATAGTACAGCATAGGAAGTATCATCCACCTTGTGGACCCTGTGGGTGAAGGGCGGCTGGAGGGCTTTAGTCTTCATTCTTAATTGACATCTCCTTCTTTTTCCCCTGGGTGTACAGCAAGATCCTCATCTTTTGGCACAGTCATTTGCCCCGCTCCCCCTTTCCTGCCTGAAGCACCTCATGGCAGCAGGTCCTTGGTTCATCTCTGCCTCCTGATGAAGGTGGCTATGTTACTCCTGACAGCAACAGCTCCTCCTCCTCAAGGTGGCTTTTGGCAACTTCAGGAATGACAAGTCACGTTAGCCACATCTCCTGACTCTCCACATGGCCCCGAGCACCATCGACCTCCAGGAAGTACTCGGCGGTCCCCACTGGTCTGTGGAGCAGTTTGAGAACCACCAGCTTGATACAGTGGTCGCTGTTAAAATCCAGAGATAGCTTTTGGAATTAGAGAACCGTTTCTGTGGTGCTGGCTGTCTCTCACCATGCGTAGGGAATGGCACCAACCTCCAGCAACACTCAGGGCTTTGCTGTGTGCAGTTAAGGTTTCGACGATGATCGTGGTAAAAGGGTGGTATGGCTTTGTGGTGGTAGGAGGCGATGCCAATGTCTAATTGCATATAACATTCACAGGGACACGGAGCTGAGGCAGCGGCGGCAGCTTTACGAGGCCGGTCTCCATTCTTCAGCCCGCTATGGCAGCCACGACAGCAGCAGCACGGGGATGGATGGAAAGAAAAAGCCTCGAAAGTGGTTGCAGTTAGAAACGTCAGAGAGGAGATGTCAGATCTGTCAGCACCTGTGCTATCTTTCCATGGTGAGTAAAATCCTTTGCCTCCAGTGGGGTCCTGTCTCCCCTCTTGTTTATAACATACTGTAATGGACTATAAGCATTTGAGAGACAACACATGACCACAAAGTCATCTCGTGCACTGCACTCAAGACGCAGAGATGTTGATGTGGTTTGTGTCAGAACATTTATGACCTTAGGCAGTGGTGACAGAAGACAAGGACTAGTGTCAGCCAGCTTCCCTCCCCCTGCAGGGAAGGGATAAACTAGTCGCTCAGCCACTCTTGGATGCCCCTGAGCATGTCTGCATTGCACTAGGAAGGGGTAACAAAGATACCTGCAGGTTGCCAGTAGTAGTAAGTCCTGGCAGAAGAGTTCTCAGGACGGGCGCCAGCAACTCAAATACCACGTCCCAAGTCTCGGGCATGCAGCTACAGCACCTGCCGCAACAGTTTCCCTGCAAGCCAAATTGCAGGGTAGATGTATCTGTCAAGCCAAGCTGCTGTTTGCCAACCTGTCTGTTCCAAAATAGAAGTCATGCCCATAAACTTTCTCTCTTTTTAGAAGTAATTGCCTACTGGTTTTTGAAGGTGTGCTAACCACTGTGGTGACACTTTCAGGTTTGTAGCTGTGTGCAGAACAGCCAGAAGTACAGCAATTTCATTAAAAATATCAAAAGCCCCTCCTACAGCCTTAAAGTACCACCTAATTCCAAGATGAGATATTTAAATAAACATAATACAGTGCGTGCGAATCCGTATTCAGTCCTTTTTTTCTGACATCTTTTGGGTTTTTTGGTTATAAATGTTATGTTTTTGATGTAACTGTTAAATGATGAGATGTAGCTGTTTTCCCTCCCTAGACAGAATATGCTGAGTTTATACATGTCTTTCTTTAGACCACTGAGCAGCTAAGACATGTTTAAGCAGCACTAGTTTGAAGTAACTTTAAAATGAGTTTGTTTAAAAAAACCACTCAACCAAAACTTCTTAATTCTGGTCCGTTTGCTCTGGAGTAAGAGTAATCGAGGGAAGGATTTTCCCTTGTCACTCTTAACAGTTAAGAAGGGACAAGAAGTCAACTTGGTTGTCAAATTCCAGGCTGAAATTGTAGGCTTGGCAGGCAGCCAGCAGAGCAAATGAGACCTCTGCCGAATGAGACAGTAGCTGAGGAATCCTGTGGCCGAGCTTGTGATTCTATCCTTATTCGAGACAGCATTTAAAGTAATGGGAAACAGCTGCTTTCAGGGAAAGCTTTAGGCTACATATTAGATACCAATAAACCTTTATGCATTTATCATTGTTTGGATTTGACTTTCATTATTATTGGTGATTTTTAAAACAAACCTATATGTACTTGCCAACATTAGCATCAAAAAGGATATATGTACTTTCTTCTTCTTCTTACACGTCCTGACTACTTCACAATGTGTAATGCTTCTTGCATACGCCTCCTTCCACCAACTTGTAGTGAAATACGGGTTTAATAATTCACTCATTGCAATGGGAAATACTGTGTGTGTGACAGGGCTACCATTCGGAGCATCTGGAGCTCACTGCACTTCTCTCTCCTCCGCCTCTGCATTTTTATAGGTTGTACAGGAGAACGAAAATGTTGTCTTCTGCTTGGAGTGTGCCCTTCGGCATGTGGAAAAACAGAAGTCTTGTCGGGGACTGAAGATGATGTACCGTTACGATGAGGTCTGTATGATATAGCTTTGTGATGCTGGTGAGCTTTGATACTGGAAACTTGGGACTAGACTTAGCTCTGCCTTTGTCCTACTGAGACCTCAGGAGACTGTGCTTTGCTCTTTGGGGTTTTTTTTTTGCTGTGAGAAGAAAGTGCTTTATTGTGATCCAAGTAAAAGAAATACAGGGAAACATGGTTACAAAGATGAAACCTGAAGCATAAACTGCATGAATATGCGTTACAGAACAGAGAAGCCATTTAATGCTTTGGGATGCTGTAGCATGCGAGGCTGTGCTTTGACTGGTAATTTAGGATAACTTCTGTTCTTTAGGATAACTTCTCTCTGTCGGTAATTGAAAGTTCATGCCGACTTACTCCTGTCCAACCTGAACCTTCTTTAAGGCAAACTTGTTGGAGTACTTGTAGATGAGAGGTCCAGTAATGGCATCAAGCAAATGTGATAGTGAATAATCACAGGACTCCAGTGGGCGATTTAGGACTGTGCCTGGGCTCAGGGCTCATGCTACACCGCAGTACAGTCAGGTCATGCCTCTTTACTTCTCTAGTTGGCTCCACTTGTGGACAGCCAGTGTGTGGGAGGGGATGGGTGGGGGAATAGTGGGGCAGCATTTTACTGTTAGCCCGAGCTGAAGGTAGTGAAAGAAATAGGAGAAATTATAAAATCAGCTTTTAGAGATCAGTGCTGGTACAAGTAGCTATTTTAAGCTGTGCCAGGAAAGGCGGGAAAACCTCTCCTTCAATACTGGATGATGATTCCCCGCCCCCCAAGTGTGAAAACTCTCACAAAGTTTCTATATTTCTGAAGGCTACTAACTGCACACCTGGTTATTATTACAGGGAATTTTTTTTGAGGGCCGTGAATGGGGAGAGTAAGAACCTGAATGTCAAATGCCAGTTGTTAAACCTATTTATTTTTAACTGTTTGGTAGGCTTAATTAAGACACTGTTTCAACTTTGCACAAAAATAATTTCTCAACATTCTGAGGAGGACGGGATAGCCAGTTCAGAAATATTTCCCTCCCACACTTTAAACTTGATGAAGTCCCCAAATGTAATGAAATTAGGAGTGGCATTTTAGCCAAGATGCTTTGATGCACAGTTCAAGGACTCCTGTAGCCCTTTTTTTTGCGTGGCAGCAGCCGGCTTTCTCTATGCATGGGCTCAGAGCACCTGGACACCCAGAGACCCTAAAACGCATTAAACAAAAGAAGTAGCATCCCGTAACCAATGACAACAGTGTCACTAAGAAAAAGTGGACTCTTTTTCTTAAAGAAATATTTTACTAAATAGTATATTATAGGCACTGTTACTGTGGATTTAAATTTCTGGCATTTATAACTTTGTTTGGCACATTTTAAGCTGTATCTAAAAAATTATTTGTGACCCTAGTGAAGTTAACCTTGAAGCCCAGCTGCTTTAGTCTTGCTTAGGGGCCAGAGCTCAGACATTTCTAGCTCTGCTGGTTACCATCTTTAAGTCTGGAGGGGTGAAACTTCAGCAAGGGCAGTGTTGGGACTACTACATAGTATTTTTTACAAAACTCCTCCTTGTCAATATGCAGTATATGAGCCAAGCTCCTGCATATGTTGTGAATATATAGATTTTTTTCCCCGCCCCTTAAGTGCTTTCAGTCAAAAAGGCAGCATTACAACTCTTTCCTTCAGAAGTGACTGGAGAAAGAGCAGATGCTAATTGGTGTTTTGTTTTTCCCAATTCATGAACAGGAGCAAATAATCAGTCTAGTCAATCAAATCTGTGGAAAAGTATCTGGTAAAAACGGCAGCATTGAGAACTGTATCAGCAAGCCTACACCAAAAAGAGGACCTCGTAAGAGAGCGACAGTTGACGTGCCATCATCTAGGCTTTCATCCTCCAGTTCATCCAAAAGTGCTTCAAGTTAATCCTGAAGATGCCAACACTCTCATTTTGTCAATTTATATATATTTTTTGTAATTATTATACCATAGTTTGGAGTACTTGCTGTAGAATACAAGCTGTCTTTGCACTAGCTCTAAAGAAGATTTTCTTCTGGTTTTAGAGAACTAATTTTGTTTTAGCATTAAACTGTTGAATTTTTTTTTTTTTGTACTTAGAATAGATAGATACAGCAGTCTGATTTTTTTAAACTGCCGTATGTTCACTGTTTTAAAACCGGCAAGGGGCTGATAAAATATTAATTTGTATTGTCCCTATGGCTGAAAAAATAAAAAGCCTTTTTGGTAACTGAAAAAAGGCTTTTAACCCATTTTTTGAATAGGTTAAAGTTTGATGTGTTTTATAATTTGTTCTCCAGTCATGTGAGCAGATTTTTCTAGAGAGAAAAGGGATAGGAGACAAAAACTTGAAAGAAATTGCTTTACTTTGGCTGTCTTTTATTCTGTCACAGCAAGCTGAGTTTTGTAATTTTTTAAATTGGAGAATACACACTTTCTTTGGGAGGTTATGGCAGCTGAAGATGGACTTTGTTTCCTAACTGTAGGCAAAAGGAGGAGATTTGGAGTATGTTCTCTTTTACCAGCACATCACTATGCATCTGTTTTGAGGGGGAAAAATAAAAATTTAAAAAAAAAAAAAAAGGAGGAAAAAAGACTGCCTGCCTTGAGGAGTCATGTGAGGGAAAACTGTGCCTGATTTCATTAGGAAATCCATTCTGTTATTTTTTGGTGCTGTTGGCTACTTTATCAAAAACCCTTCAATAGCATCCTTTGAAAAAAAAAAAAAAGAAAAAAGAAAAAAGTGATTGAAGCCATAAGTGCTTCTTTTGTCATAGACGTGCAATCTTTCTAACATTCCATTTCCATTCCACTGCTGTTTTTCACACCTTTACACAGTCAAGCATTAATTTTTGTTTTGAATTTGTTTCATTATATGATCACATTTAGAGCCACTAGCAGGTCTGCATATTTCTTTTGAATGTGAAAATGCATTTGCTTTCATCTTGTCTATTTTTTCTCTTCATGTTGTAACAAAAAAAAAAAAAAATCACACCTTTTGTACATATGCCTGTAAATTTTTTTAAATACTTGAGCCTTTTCTTGGGGTGGGGGGAGGGATGGCGAAGAGACAAGATGAAGAAAAGCCTTACGTTTCACTTTCTTCATCGGTTGGATTGGATGCTTACAGGGTTTTTCTTGTAACATTTATAAGTGCTGCTTACATCACTGAACAACAACAAAAAATAATAATGGAGTAGCTGTTGCCCTTTTCTGGTTGTGTGTACAGTATGTGTGGAATAAAAAAGGGAAAATGTTTTCACAAACTGTTTTGTTTCGTAATTGAATTCAACAATACCGTAGCTACCCATATTGCACTGAGCTTGCCAGTGGTGACTGTCAGGAAAGTCCTATAATACAATTTGTTGGTTGTTGTTGCAGAAGACTGAACTGTTTTGGAATATTTAACAATAACATAAACAGAGTCAAGTGTTTTCAAATGTGGTTGTCTGGTTTTTATGGCCTTGCTGTGTACTTTTCCCTCTTGACAGTAAACTTCTGACTATGGCTTACAGTTTGACATTTAATTTATTAGCGCTGCTCTGCTCTCTTTCCTTGTAAGGAAAGACTTCATGTTGTTTATTGCCAGTTTTTTGTTTACTTTCCAGGTTTGTACTACGAGGTTTAATAAAAAAACAAAACTTTTTTGGACATTTTGTCTGTCTTCTGGAAAGTGAGTGAGTAAAGTAAGCTCCTTCAAGCAAAACTTCTTTCAACGGATGCCTGATTAAATAGTAAATATCTAATTGTAGGTAGTGAGCTTTTTGCTTTCATTTCCCAGAGAGGGGTCAGGAAACCCTTTGTCAGGTAACAGGAGATAGAGGGACTCCTTAAGGAAACTGGCCACCTCCCAGCTAGCAAGCAGCAGGCGATGCATCATTCCGGGCTGTTAGCTGTGTCAGGGCAGGTCTTTGGAAGGTATCTACGTCACAGCTCCTCCTTTTACTTACGCTATTTCTGATTACATTCCTTCCCTCTGTGCATGAAGAGCAGGAGCCAGGAGCCTTCTCAAAGGAGAGCAGATCCCTGCAAATAGAGCGTGAGACTTGACAAGAAACAGGTGTTAGACATGTTCAGACCTCAAGTTTAGAGAGAAAAATGACCGCAGAAAAAAATGGCAGTAAGATGTTGAGGACCTCAGGTCCTAAAATTTATAAAATGTACACACTTTATAATTAATTCAGGTTTATTTCCCTCAAATTGCTGGCTTGCATCAGTGTAGTCAAACAGATGTTACCATGGAAAAGTAAATTACACTGGTGCTCAGTATAAATAACCATTCTTTTCTGATTGCTGAATTAGTCTCCTCTGTTCACTGTCATGAATAAAATATTTGGGTAATCAAGTAAAAGACATGGTTGGGATAGAAATACTTTATTTTATCTCAAAAGAGGAGTAAGTTTATACAATGCTAAGATACCTGCTCCACGAGGAGTGTAACATTTCAATATGCATCTCTCCTCCTTTTCAGTTTCTTTTTTTTTTCCTTAACACCTATGATAACTAAGTTGGTCCTGAATAAGAAGTGTGAGAGTAGACACTGCTGCTTTAGTAGACAAAGGCAGTAGGCAGACAGTAGGTAGTAAAGAGTAGAAAATAACTTTTCATTGTGGTTTGGATCCTAAATCTTCAGTTGCAGCAGCTGAAAACATGCAAGGAACAATTTGGGTTCAGTTTTACACATCAATTCTTCAGTATTTCCAATCAGCCATTTAGAGGTTAGTGGTCAAAGTAACTTGTATCTTTCCCCTTTAATTCTCTTATACATAGTATATACAACAGTTTTACTGCTCTCCTGAGCCCCAAGACTACTGTTAAAGTGTGTGTGCTTTAGGCATATTTTTTTTTTTTTTAAAAACCAACCTCCACATGACTGGCAATTTTGTAAAAAGGCGGCATTACTAAGTAAAAAGATCTGACTGTTACGCTTGGTTAGCAAATCCTTACACAGGCAAGCTCTTCATTCACGTGTTCATTCATTCAGAAGTCATTCTTAAAGGATATGGTTTTAAGATTCAAATAGTTTGAGAGTCACTTTCATCACTAACATCTGAAGCACCCTTTCTTTCAGTTACAGCAGCAAGAGCAGTGTCCACTTGGACTTCCTCTTCATCAGACTGAATAACTGGAGACTCTCCTTCACTTGCGTCTTGGCTGGCAGAATCCGTACAGGTTGATGAGAGCGAAGACAGTTTCTGTCGTAATTCAGACTGGCTCGGAACCTGAAGACTTATCTCATTCACGTAGGTGTTGGAGTCGGGCCCTTATAGTTGGAAAAAGAACAACAACAAAAATCAAGCTGTGGCTCAGCAAGTGAATTGAGAAGTCAGTGTATGAACTGAGCTCAACGTTGGTTAATGAGTTTCACTCAGGCTGTTTTGCAAAAGAAGCAAAACACCACAAAAAAAACCCCACAACCTCCCAAAACACAAAGCTGCCTTTTGGCTTTTCTGAAGTTGATTTCAAATACAGGCCACAGGCTGGTTTTAATCTGTTTCTGATGGTGTGTGTGTTTTTGGCTCGTTCTAGTATTGCTAACGCTTGAGATCAAATGAGGTAAGATTCCAAGAGTATGAAGTCCTGACTCTGTTAAGAGACGTAGCTGATGTCCAGTTTGCCTGTTAGCCAAGACCACTTAATCCTCCTAACTTTGACTTCGATAAAGTCCATTCAGACCTCAGCACATGTTGAGAATAATCACCAACAGGAAAATCCTCCAGACAAACTCTGTCCAACAGAAAGACACAAATAAACCTGGGTGAAGTTAAAAAAAGAAAAAAACAACAACCAGTGGAGAAGTAATAATAGTGATCTCCAATTCTGACTAAAAATCAAGGTGCCAAAGCAAAACAAATTCTTGCCAAACAGCATGAAAGAATTTCTGTGGTAAAGCTGTGCCATAGCTCATGTGCACAGGAATGGGATTTTAAGACTATGCTTCCTCCATATCCTATGCAAAAAGACTTCTAAGCACGTTCGGTATAATGGTGTTTGCTTCCAGTTTGAGAGTTCATATTTCAAAATTATCTTGGATCTTCTTCTCTGGACACTTCCTGGCAGTAAATAAGAAGGAAAAATAGGGAAACGTCTAAACAATTCTTTCTATGTAATCTGCCAAATAAAACCATTTTTTTTCCTTCCCTGCACTACCTAAGAAGGGTTTTTCCATAGTCGGGGCACCCAGCTTTAGCACTGGGTAACCTTAGTGAGCAGATACTCTTCAAAATCCTGTGGGTTTTTATATAAAAAGGTTTCAAGAGGGTCGGAGGGAAATGAGCTAATAGCTACACCTTAACTTTGCTAAGACTGTTTGCAGAGTAGTTCACACTACATTGCCCTATGACCGGTCCCCATAGTCTTACCAAGTATCCGAGTTAAATGGTAACAAGAAAAGAGTCATAACAGCACCTGGAGGCCACAGAAGCTTGTTGTACTAGACCCTGTAAGATACACTAGCTTCTTGCCCTAACTAGCTGCAACCTTAAATTCTGGACTTAAACTTTGACAGTAAGTAGCCCTGTATGTTTGAATTTCTCTGAGACCCAGGAACTCCAGAGGAAAACACGCCCTCAGCAGGTCTCCCAGTTTAAACACAAGTTGATAAACTTCCGGTACAACATTCACAACTCTGACAGCCAACCAACCTGCCTGGACTGAAAACACTCTGCCACTCCAACCAACAGTGTCAGTCCAGGGTGTCTAGCAGGTCTACTGAGTTGCCTCCTCAGGTAGTGCAGGAGCACACATGACACCAGGAAGATGTTTCTAAAGAGACCTGTCTTTATGCTGTGCACACCAGCATGCATTAGATTAATCTATGCAACACACACAGAGGAGGAGTTTTCTGGAGCTGCAGAGTCGAGTAAATTTTTCAGTTCAACTTATCAACTAACATGAAATTTTGCAAACCCCCATAAGCTGGCAACATTACAGCAAGACAAATTTTAAAATGTTTTAATGTCTTGAGCTGATTTGCATTTTTAGCAGTTACTAAAATAACTTACCTGCATTCTGTGGTGTTCAGTAAAACTGTAAAACAAATCTTCCCCTGACCAACCCTGTTCTTCACTGACAGCAAAACGAAGAGTTATCTTTAAGCCATCTCATTTTTCTGAGAATGAAGACTATTGTGTATTTGGCTTGATACTAGGGTGCAAGGTCCTTAAAGCAAGCACAAAAATCCCTTCTAATTCAGAGGGGAAAAAATTGTCTGGGACCACGACAGTAAGATTGACAAGACTGTTACACTGTAGTAGCAGTAAGTCTTGCTGCAAGCCTATCCCACCTCTGCATTAAGGTTACAGCGCTGGAACACTGCAGCACTGGTACATTATATTTCAGTGTATGGGCATATACTTAATAAATATATATAGACTATACATACACACTGTAATACTTACATTACAGCACAAAATAAACAATATAGTTTTCTCAAAGGCTAATAAGTTTTACATCTGTTTAGGAAAAAGCAACCACACCTAGTAGTTTCTATGCTTCCTTAGATAATCCAGTAACACTGTTTGTTGTTAAGCCACAAAGCTGCTTGGTACAACATCTGCCAAAGACCCAGCAAGGGGAAAACAGTCCTAGATTCTGTAATTACTTGCATGCTCAAAGAATGATCAACTTTAATAATGCATGAATTGGATGCCTATCCAAAACCATGGATCTGAATTTAGTTTTTGCACTAAAACATGAAAACCTGTAGCAGTCAAGTGTGCC